AAGCGAAGAAGCTGTGAGCAAGTTTGGGTGTACATAAATACCCAAGCAGAAGTTACACAGACAAGCAAAAAGCTGCGAGCAAGTTTGGATGTACACAAATATCCAAGCAAAAGTTACGCAAGCGAAGAAGTTATGAGCAAGTTTGGGTGTACATAAATACCCAAGTAGAAGTTACACAGACAAGCAAAAGTTGCGTGAAAGTTTGGGTGTACATAAAATACCCAAGCAAAAGATACACAGGCAAATGAAAGCTATAAGTAAGTTTGGGTGTACACAAACACCCAAGCAAAAGGCGACGAGCAAGCTTTGGGTGTACATAAATACCCTGACAAAAGCTATGCAAGATGTGCTACATAGGTTAATGCAAATTTCAGACCAAAACTCAAGTTAGAAACAAAGCTTTTTAAAGCAAAATCTTTGAAGCTAGCTCATTCAATTGTTGATAAGTAGAATTGGATGATTAAAGACAAAAGCAGCAAAAGAGATAAGTTCTTTCTTCTTTTTTAATAAATCATAGCATTCTTAAACTGACAACACAAGTTTATCATACCTTTGCTCTTCCCTCGTATCTAAATAAGATCAACCTTAGCATGCAAGCAACGGGAATCCAAAATACCAATGAGTTGCGGAAAACAAATAAACAATGGGAACCAACATCATAAACCTGAGCAAATTTAAATAACAGAATTAAAGCAGTACAACCCAAATGTTTTTTCAAAAATAAATGTTCTTATATGCAGGTTCAACAAGAGGACTGAAAAGCTGAGCATTTAGAGAATAAAGGGTACCTTAAGAACTTCCGCATTCACAAAACTACTCCAAATGTGAATAGCTATAACAGAATCCTCTGCATCCTTAAAAGCTGCCCAATCCTTACTCTACTTCAACCAAAGATCTACCCAAAGGAACATGCATTGAACCTTAATCATAAACTTTCTTCAACTTTGGATCAGCTTAAACCTACACAACAACATCCATGCTCTCAAACTCAGAGATGCGATCAAGCACAATCAACTTAGCAAGGGACTACATCTCTCTCACATTCTTGGCAGCAAGCTTTCTCTGCTCCCTCCGGTCAATTCCAGCTCGAAACCCTTGAGCTAGGCCTTGTGAGGATTTTGATCCAATATATTGTTCTTTAATCACCTTCAACTCCTTCTCACAATCTCGATCCGCCAATTTCTCCAACCACGCACATTCACGCTCCTTGGCTTCCTCCTCATGCTGGCAATTGTAACATTCCGAGCAGCGTTCCCTGTCTTGCCTCCTTTCACGATCTCGGTAGTTGGAATTGGGGGAGGGCTTGAAGGAGCCAGAGATAGAAGGATTGAGGCGATGAAGGTGGTGTTGTTCTTGGATGCAGTGTTGTTGAAGGCATTGGAGGACCAACTACTCTCTCTTTTGTTAAGAAGACAGGCTTGGGAGAAAAAATCATAGGAACCTCCGCCGGAAAAGGAAAAGTCATGGGATTCCTCTCTACATGACAAAAAGCATCCTTCACCACAAACCAACCAGGCAAATGGAAAACGTTAAAACACTTGGATTCGAAAGAAGAAAGGCTCACTTTTGAACCAACAAAGGCAAGAATGGGAAAAACTGGCAACAACAGAAAGAGAAATTGTCATGGCCTTGATAGTAATAGGAGAAATTTCTAAGATCACCTCTGACAATGGGATCCACCCCCATCTCGACAATATCCCGAGCAACTGGAGCCATAATAGCAGATTTTGAAGGATTCCCCTCCGTCAAAACATAAAAATGGCAAAGAAGAAGAAAGAAAATGCAAGAACCAACGGAAGCAAGGATTGAAACAGAACCGGAAGCAAAAGGAGTAACGGCTATCACAAGACAACTGGCTTGATCAAATCACAAGATCAAAGAAGTCTTTCTCAAAAGGAAGAAAACGAAAAAGCAAAAAGAAAGAAAACAAAAAGAAATCAAAAAGAAGTCAAACAAAAAAGAAAAAAGAAAAAAGAAGAATCGGGAAACCCAAGAAAGCTCCATTTGAAAGCCAAAAGGATAAATTGTATAAAATCCCAAGGAAATAGGGGTTTGAACCAAAAGGACCTGTCGTACCAAAAAACCATACAAAGGGGGCCACGTGCATAAAAAAATTGCCAAGAAGAAGAAAATCCGAGAAATACAGCTGGGGAGATGTGAAAAAATCAAGCAAGGACCTGAACAAATCAACATAAATCTGCAGAATAATTAATTTCAAAAAATTTCTAATGAGGAAACTGCGCTAGAATCATGAAGGAAAAACCTGGACTGCACTCTTTTTTCCTTAAACTAGATTTTTTATCCCACAGGGTTTTTTCTAGTTAAGGTTTTTAATGAGGCAGTCACAGTAGAAAAAGTGAGAACCTGCGCAGAATTCAAAACCAAGATCAACAGAGCAATAAGAAAGACAGACACCCGTTGAAAGTTTTCACTACTCTCAAACTTCTTCATTGGGGGGCAAATGTTATACCCTAAAACAAGTCCTATGATAATTAGGACACGTGGAGGCATTCTAGAGATAGTCCTATCAAAAGTAGAATAGGATAAATCCCACTAGAATAAGAATATCCCAAACACCAATCAAATAAAATTGTATTCCTAGAATAACTATATTTAAGCATCCTATAAATACCTCTAGGATTAACCTAAGGAGGTAGATTATTTTCCATCATCATTCTCTCTTCATTGTAAACTCTCTCTATCAATAAAGATCTTGGTTCTCTACCACCTTTTCTATTTTTTACTATTAACAATAAGAAAATTTATTAATTTAATTAATAAAAGAATTTATTTTTTACTTTATCAATCAAAGTTCAATTCATTGAGAAGTTAATATAAAAATAATTTTTTATAAATTTCATAATCTTAATATAAATAATATTGACAGCCCCAAACCTTAGAGATCCAATGACATTAGTCATTGATCAGCTGCACTCCGTCATCCATAAACTCGCCTCTTGTCAAAATGTTTTAAAAAAATATAAATAACACTGACAACTTAAAAAGAAAATGCTAAGTCAGCAAACTGAACTCAAAAGAAATTCCATATTAGCCATCTAGCCCACCAGATTGGCCTTGCCATTTGAGTTAAACTGATTCTCACGTCGGCCGTGACAAAAGGGTTGATTTATCAACCCTTTTGCCAAAAGGTAATATATTCTACAGTGTCTATTGATCATTTTAAAAATACCATACATGTGAAGGTGCCCATCACCTCTCAAGCACCTTCCTCGTCCAAAGCGCCAGAACGAAAGGCTACTAGAGAAAGGGAAAAGAAAGATTTCCCCCACAATGTAGATGAAATCATGAAACTATCTTATTATTGCTATTTATTATTTTTTCCTAGTCATTGCTTATTTATTGTTTTTTTCTACCACAAAAGATCTGTTTACGTAGTAGATTAAAAGAAATATAAATATGAAACTTCAGTTTAATCAAATTAAAAAGGCTGACCTAATATTTTAATTTAATTTAACAAAAATTCATTATTTGCCTTCTCTTCTCTTTATTTCCCTGACTCTGACGACCCTGACGACCCTGCCCGCCACTATCTACGGCTCCGCAGAGGATGGCCTACACCAATGGACTCGTGTGAGTCTTGTACTGGAGTTCTAGGCTTCCAGCCCAGATTGCCTAGTTTTCCATCTCCTTTCTCAAAGCATTAAATA